GAATACCCCTTGATCCCTTGAAAACACTCGAGTACTCAAGTCCACCCAACTTGGACGACAATTAAGTGATTCATTAAAAATGACAGAGCATGAATTGAATTGAGAGCCGGCGTTGGAGTTGGAGTTGGAGTTAGAGTTGAGTTTACTGTTCTGGTTTTTTGGTCTTGAAGTTTGAATAGAACCCATAATAGTGGTGGGCTATATAGAGGAAATGTCAGTGCGTGCCAGAAGATAAAGGAATAAAAGAAAGTTGTTGATGTTGCCGCTGCCCGACTACCGTTCAAAATTTAGGAGCGTACGTACGTGCACAAGTATTTGAAAAACTCATTTAAATCCGATGGACAGACGGACGACCCCTTCTCGAGGGTGGGATCCGGGATCTGGGAACTGGGAACGGGGAATCGGGAACCGAGAACTAGTGAAATTCAAATGCAAACGACGAAGGCTGACGCTGACATTTGATGCCAAATTTTCAAGTGGAGCGACCAGCGGCAGTGGCAGCCAAAACACTTGAGGAATTGCCGCCGCTGTCGTTTAAAAGATGATGGCATGAGATACTCGACGAATGTGCGAATGTGTTCTGCCCCAAAAACAGTCGAAAAAAATCATGGTAATATGACATCATAAAGAAGAAATACGTTTTTATTGGTCAGAACACAGAAAATCAAATGTTATTTGATATGCATTTTTTAAGAATTTCCCTGAAATGTAGGATTTGATTAGGCAGAAACATAATATTTCTTAGTACTACGTTAAAAACTTATTTCAAAATTCAAAGATTCTTTAATTCAATGAAATAAAATCTGAAAAACGCTATCCGGATTAAAATTTTTGAACTGATTTAGAGATAACAGCATTTTATTATGGTTACTTTTCAAAAGAAACTCTTAGGAAGGTTAATAAACATAAAATTGTCCTTACCACAAATTTTAAAAGAGACATTAATTCTGTAAAATAAAGTCAGGAGTCTTTTTAAAATTTTTGAACTACGTTTTAAATTTTTTTAACTCTTTTTTCGCTCGGTGCCTTAGTCGCCCCAGTAGCAAATACCATCCTCCGTCGACTGGTCCAGTCGTAAATATGAAGCACAAACAAAGCAGCTCGTCCAGACAGAAATCAGTGGAGTTCGAGAAGAGGTGGGGGCACAACAGAGCGATTCCGAGGCCGTCGCATTAGTATACGGAAGCTCGAAAACGAAAAAATTACAATCTCAACCGTTTGGCAGACAGACGATGACAGAAGAAGCCGTGATCCAGAAGAAAAGTGGTAAGGGGCGGCAGATTCCGTCGGCAGATAGCTATAGTCGGGCCCAAGCAGGCCATAAACTGGCGACTATGAAGATATATTAGGCAAATAGATGGATGGATGACTATAGTACGCCATCTCCATCCGTTTTCTCTTCTTCTCCTACCTTTTTTTTTTTTTTGTTAGTCGCCAGCCGAAGAGAAACAATTTTCGACAACGTTTTGGCAAATGCAAATGGAGTTTGACAGGCCGCCGCCAACGTTCCACCATCAAATAATAATAAAAGACTCACGGAAAATGATGGCCTCGGGAAATTGAAAAGCCTCATCGATGGGATAATACCCTAAAATTGTTAAAAGCGGTTTTGCTTAAAACCAAATTATGTTTTAGTATAAAAACTGAGAAGGGTACTTATTATTTTGTAAAATGTTAAAAAGTATGTTATGTGAGCCATTTTATTAACAATACCATAGTTCTAAAAAAGACAATACCATACTTTTTTTTTTTACCAGTTATCGTGCTTTTTATTCTGTTTTATTATTATTTTTTCATTGTTCTAAATGCCCAACTTTTAGACAGAGTACACAAAAAGGTTATCAGCCATATTGCGGCTTATGATGAGTATGATGAACATTAGAAAAGAAGTTTTCCTTTGGCTACCTGACATATACACACACACTCAACTCACGGAGCACTGCGTCTCAAATTACATGACCATGAAGAGATGGGGGGAAAAAATTTATTACAAAAGATAGACAAAAGATGCGAAATATTTGCCCCTGACTGACGATGGCGATGACGATGACTATGGGAATGCTGGCAACTGCTGCTAGAAACTCGCACAGTGCTGCAGAGAAGTTAACGCACGCTGAATGTGCAAACAACAAACAAAAAATACAAAAAAAAAAAATACAAATATGTCTGCCCGTCCAGCCAGCCGCATAAATACTCTCCGGGGAGTTGTTAGTTTCGTGGGGTTCTCTCGTGTGGATTGAACGAAATATGCGAAGCCTCCAAGCCGGGGTTTTTCGCTACCATAGATTGGTGTGGGCTATAGTTTTTGCCAACCCTCCATTTCTCCCAGGGCAGGTCCTTTAGCTATACACTTGAGGAAATAATTAATCAAGTATTTTATTCACATGCCTCGAAAAATTATAGGATCACTTAAAAAAATAGGACCAACACTTAAAATGAGGGATACATATTTGATATTTCAATTTTTTTTATAAATGAATTTTTATACCCGTTACTCGTAGAGTAAAAGGGTATACTAGATTCGTCGGAAAGTATGTAACAGGCAGAAGGAAGCGTTTCCGACCCCATAAAGTATATATATTCTTGATCAGGATCACTAGCCGAGTCGATCTAGCCATGTCCGTCTGTCCGTCTGTCCGTCTGTCCGTCTGTCCGTCTGTCTGTCCGTCCGGATGAACGCTGAGATGGGAGCTAGGCTATTGAGATTTGGCGTGCAGATTCCTGAGCTTTTTACGCAGCGCAAGTTTGTTTCAGCACAGTGCCACGCCCACTCTAACGCCCACAAACCGCCCAAAACTGTGGCTCCTACAGTTTTGATACTAGAATAAAAATTTTAGCTGAAATGTATTGTTCTCATCAATACCTATCGATTGATCCAAAAAAAAGTTTGCCACGCCCACTTTAACGCCCACAAACCACGAAAACCTGTGACGCCCACAATTTTCATGCTAGATAAAAAATTTTAACTGAAATGTATTGGTCTCGTCAATACCTATCGATTGATCCAAAAAGAAATTTGCCACGCCCACTCTAACTCCCACAAACTGCGAAAACCTGTGACGCCCAAAATTGTTATGCTAGATAAAAAATTTTAACTGAAATGTATTGGTCTCGACAATACCTATCGATTGGTCCAAAAAAAAATTTGCCACGCCCACTCTAACGCCCATAACGCTTAAATCTGTATACCGCCGGTAGGTGGCGCATTTTAATCCCGCTTTGCTGCTTGCATATCTCCATTTAGCTGAGTAACGGGTATCTGATAGTCGAGGTACTCGACTATAGCGTTCTTCCTTGTTTTGTATTCAATTAATCGGGACATATCCAATGCAATATAAAATCCGTAAGCAGCCCTTCACCATTAATAAATAAAAAATATCAAAGAATTTCTTCAAAAGATTTCAATGATAAAATATTTAAAAACATTCGCACCCAATCGATTTAATTTTTTTTTAATGGTGAATGTATACTTTTGTGATGCAGTTAATACGAGTTTAATTAGCTTAAATCCTTAAAATTTCCTGTGGGAAAAAAATAAGATAAAAAAACTTGTCCACAAAAGATTGCAATGATAAAATATTTGTTAACATTATGCCCCAAAAAGATTTATTCATTCAATCAGTGTAAATCAGGACATTTTTTGTGAATTTCGAAATGATTCTCTGTACATATTTCTTTGCCCTTGGGGGGGCGGCGATGGCGATTGCCACCCAAGTTGCCTGTTTATGAATTACTTCAGCCGTGCAGCACGCGTACATATGTACTATATAGTTATGCATGTACATTGTACACTGCACAACATGTATTTATGTATGAGTATAAAATGGAAAGCATAAACAACGACGGCGAATGAAAGCCCTGTAGCTGCAACAAAGGGCATCTCCCTGAAATATGCTGCAAAACTGCGAATTGCAAACTGCAAAACGCGAAACGAAACGAAACCAAACCAAACGAAACGCACTGTGTGCAACAATTTATGGCCAACATTCAACAGTGGCGAAAGCGAAGAAAAAAAATACATAGTGAATTGTTTGCGGCAGCATAAAAAGTAGCCAAACAGATGGGGGCGAAGGGGCGGGGCTGGCAACTTGGTTGCTGCATTTCTTTGCATAAATTGCAACATTTTGTGGCACCGAGCTTGAAGTTTCCACTGCCGCTGTTTAGGCAATTTGTCATTGCAACCATCACAGTTCCTGTATAAAGATATCCAGATATAAATCTATCTCAGCGTGCGAGAGAAAAGCCACTTTCAATAGGGTAATAAACAGGTTAAAGAGCCCAACTTGAAGTTTGATTGCCAAAAAGTCCCTTTGAAAAGTTTCAAGCTTAGAAAAATGTAATGCGTTAAATGTATGCGCAAACTTTTGGGGCAGTTCAAAGTCAAGAATAATGTTGAGAGTTCTAAAGGACACAAGAAAAAAAAGGTCTAACATATCTTAAATATATGTTGTAAATATTTAATTCGGTTTTTAGTAGATAGTTGTAGATACTTAAAATAATTGCAGTTAAATTGAATACAAATTTGGTAAGGGTACAAGAAAAAAGGGGCTACATGTCTTACATATTTATTGTAAATATTTAATTCGGGTTTTGGTAGTCAAACAAGTCTAACATGTCTTAAATATTTTTTGTAAATATTTTTATCGGTTTTTAGTAGATAGTTGTAGATATTGAAAGGGATTTTAGTATATTAAAATAAAAATCACTTTTTTCATCTTTTAAATATTATTAGGGAACGTAAAGCTTTTATTTATACCCTTTATAAAAGATTGCCTTATTTTTTTTCGGTGTCAGAGTTACTAGTTTGAGTGAGGAATCACTCAAAAAGTGTGAAAGTATTTCCACACGCCCCGGCAATTGAGGAGAACGAGTTGAGGCGTAAATATGCTGCTGCCACACTGAGATTACCCCATAGCCCCCGAAATGCATTTACGCCAACTCAACTGATGCAAATCTAATTCTCGAATGTCTCTCGCGCACACAGATACACACACACTCACACACATTCCGTTTAGTCGGTAGGGCGCAGTGGAAAATATAAACCTCTCAAGTGCAAAAACCATTCAAAAACTAAGCTAAATTTATTTAAGGAACAGCCAGGCAACGACAACGAATGCTGCTGCAACTAGAATATTTTTTTTTTATTCCACTGCTTTCTGTGTTTTCTCCGTTTTTGGTTCGGTGTGTTGAAGCCCCTGCACATTTCACTTAACAGAAATAAAAACTGAAAAGAAAAGCCAACGCAAATGCGAGCAAAGCCCAAACCAAACTGAACCACGGCGTGCCATAAAAAAAAGGAACAGAAAAGGTCTAAGCAAGTTAGTTTTAGAGCTAGGTGTAGACTCGTTCATATCCTGATAATGGTTTTATGGGTATTTTCAATAGCTTTATCAAGTACACTTCATTCTTATTAATATGAAAAATGTATTATTTTTTTTATTATGTATCTTTCTCTTATATTACTTTGTTTTTATACAATGGTTATTACAACTTTTTTGATTTCAAAAAGATCCTATTCTATAAAAAAGAACAGAAAATGCCTATGAAAATAAGTTTAAGAGCTATGTGTAGACGCGTTCATATCCTGATAATGGTTTTATGGGTATATTCAAAGAATTATTAGGTACACTTGATTCTTTATAATATGAAAAATGTTTCGTTTCGTTTTTATAGATTTTTTAGAAAAGATCCCGAACTATAGAAAAAAGAACAGGCCTAAACGCGTTTATATCCTGAAAATGATTTTATGTATTTTCAACACTTTCATAATATGATATATTGATATTTCTCAAAAAAACTCCAAGAACAAATATAATTTTGCAAAAATCACTTAAAACTATTATTTTATTTTATAAAAATGAACTTAAACCTTATCTTAAAGACTCTAAGCAATGATTTTAAAACATTTTTGATCTCTGAAATATTCTAAATATTATGTTTTTAAAACAATTGAAGTCCTGAAAAAAAATCCTGTAGCCATGAAAGTAAAAATTCTTATAGAGTGTATTTTATTATTTATAAAGAAAATACTTTATGCACCAGGAACACCCCTTATCCAGGGTATCCCAAAAGAAGTGGGAAAACCCATGCGGAGGCAGCAGAGCAGAGCGAGAGCAGCCGACAAATGTCGCCAGCGAAGAGCAGGGAAAATCGAGGGGATATACGAGTATAGTGGCGGTTGGGGAAATTGCAGGAATGAAATTCAGGTGCTGGTGGTGCGGTGGTGACGGCAGCGGCGGCGGCGGCTGGAAAACACTCGGGAAATACGTTGACTGGGCTCCCGTCTATCGTCTCTTTCGCTCTTTTTGCCATTTCGACCACGTCCTGGTCCTACAAACGTGTGCATGCAAGGTGCTCGTATAATGCGTTGTGCGTGTTAAAAGATAGTTTTGCCCAGCTCAACGCGAGGCCAAAATCCAGCAACTTTCAGTGGCAGTGGCAGCAGTCGGAACGGAATGGAAAACTCAAAACCTAACACAAACCCAACCACACAGCCCAGCGACAGGTAGTTTTACACATTGAAAAATCCCAAACACCGTGAAACGTATCGTTTTTGTCGTGTTTTTTTTTCCATTTTTACTGGGTTGGGAACTGTGCTCCCATTTTTGGTGGCTACTGTGTGTATGTGTATAGGGATGGGCTCCCTAATGTAATAGGTCTGGGGATCAAGGCAGCGCGAGACAAATGCACAAAGCCCCTTCCGCACTCCTTTGTTTGTTCAGAATTCAACATTTGCAGCTGCAGCATTGGCATTGGGATCTTTTCAATATCTGCTGGCATAAAAAACGGGGCGTTCTAAGGGGATTTCTCGGCATTTGGCTGCGATTTGTCGTGGGGGGAGGGGGAGAAGGTCATCAAATGGCCTCAGAGGGATTGCCGTTTTCACTCACTCACATTTTAGTGGAATTTGTTAAAAGAAGTTTTTGGTCTATCCTATTTAAGTGTATAAACTGCCCAGGTTTTTAAAAAGTTATTAGAGTTTTAAAGAGTTTACGGTGTGTATTGTTTTTGATCCCAAAATCTGTTAACTTTCTAAAGCCAGCTTAAAAGTTTTATTTTTTGAAAAGAAATGATAATTTATTGCTGCTGCCCTAACTAAGCAATTATTATTACGACACCATTTTTTTTGGTTTTCACCAAAGTTGTTGTCTCACAATTGTTAAACCAACACGAACCAGGGATCTTTTGTTTTTTCGGTCTTATGCCTTTTTTTCCATGCTGCGCGTGCTTCTTGTCCATCCATATAGCCCTTAACCCCAGAATGCCCAACATCGCATGCAGCAAGCATTGTCATCATGTGTTGCTGATAGGTCTTCGGCTGGTATTTTTTGTATTCCCCGTTTTCCCTCTTTTCATTGGATGTTCGGGTTCCTAGACAAATATTATTGTTTCCAACACGCCGTTATTGCATATTTGCCTTAAATATATGTACGTAGATATTTTTTCAAAGTGTGAATGAAATTAATGCGTTCCACGGTCCCGTGTCTCGGGTAAAATGGGGAAGGAATTTTCTCTTTTTCCCCGATTTTCCCATACAATTTGAAATACTCTGTTTTTGTTTGTACTCCGTTCGCTTTTCCTTTTCCCCTTTCCCCTTTTTTTCCCTACCCAAATATTCTTTTTCTATTTTCACACAGACTAAACGTTATTAAATGCAGGCAAATGCCTCGCCGGTCCAATGGTATTTGTAGTGTTGTCTTAGTCGCTGTCGTTGTTTTTATGTTCTTGCTGTATAGTGTTGTGTAGTGGCATAAAGGGCAGAGTTCCCTCGGTGGTAAATATATATATGAAATATTCTCCTTTCTCCTTTTTTGCGCTCGCTTTGAGTGTTTATTTTTTGTGTTGCCTACATTTTTGGGTGTTGCTAAAATAAGCGATGGCACAGTGGGTTAGAATTTGAGGAATTTTTTAGGTATGGTTTATTGCCAAAAATTCTTTTTCCTATGCAGAAACAATGAAAAATTGATAAATAAAAAAAAGCACCTACTATTTTGAGCAATTAGAAAAACCAGGTTCGATTTATTAAATAGTTTTTAAGACCTTAGAATTTTTTTTTTTAATTCTTGATGAAATAAATTTCATTTGTGTTCTTCAAACCCACTTTAACAGCACAATCTCCTTCAATTAATTGGCTCAATTTATATAAAATTCGTTCACTTCAATTTCATGGCTTCAAACTTTAAATATTTTCCACACACACTCGGGAAACTTTCACAGGCATAGAAACACTTTTTGTTGTGGCCAAAATTAGCCTTAACTGATTTATGTTCTTTAAAGACTTTAGTTGGCTTCGAATTCCCCCCATCGATATATCCTATGGTTGGGTAATCCCAATGAATAACGCAGACACCTGTTCATTTCATGCATCATTGGGCTCTTTTGGGGCAACCAAAGTGCTGAGTAATGTCATTGGCTGCTTTTCAACACCTGTTACCGGCCGGCTGGTTTCGTTTGGGTTGGGGCCCACTGTACCTGGCCTTAGTCCTAATGCTAAGTAGCTTTAATGCTGCCGCATCGCTGGCTCGTTAAGCGGGGGGCGGTGCGGTGGGCGTGGCTGCACACACAAACGAATGCGGCGGAGAAAAAAATGCCGCCCTAAATGCTACTAATTAATGAGGATTTAGTGAAAACTGTTTTCGGTTTGGTTGAAATACAAAAAAAAAAAATACAAAAAAATACAGAAAAGAAGGAAATTCCATTGCACCACCGCCCTCGCATTTTGCTTTTGGTATTTCTAATGCAGTTTAGGGCGTTTTCATTTCCCCTGAATTTGTGTGTTCGCTGGTATTAGCATATAAATAGCGTTTTAAATATTTCTAGGCGCACATAATTCTAGGTATTTTCGACCCCCCCCCGCCAACCGCTACAAAGATATATTACCACCGTTTTATTTGTTAAGTATTTCTCGTGGCCTGGCCATGAATTTGGTGTGTTTGCACCCAGGGTTCGCGTGTGCCAGGACCCTAGGTCTTGGATTGTGTAAACAGGAAGCGATCCTAGACACACACATACACACACACACACCAGCTCCTTGGTTGGAGAAAAAAAAATAAGAAAAATATACCCACTCTAGGGCATTTAACGCCCAACTGGCAAACGGCAAACAAATGTAATCAATGAAATTTTATGTGCAACAGAAACGCACTTCAGATTTTCTACAATATCCTCCTTGACATGGCGTGTTTAGGCGCGCTTTTTATGCTTTTATAACTTTATTTAGCCCGACCAAACAGTTCAGATACAAATTACAATTGCGGCGCGTAAGGAAATTAAAAAAGGATTTCCATGTCTCGCACAGCAAGGTTGCTTTGCCTTCCGTAAACAGCAGTGTTCGAAATATTAGTAGTCATCTTTGATTAAAAAAATAAATATTTGGGCGCATAAATTTATAAAAATTACTTTAGAAGATGGCTTTTTTATGTGGAAAGCATATAAAACTACCGCACAAATATTTATTGTATTGCAAATCAGTGTTTAAAATGTTAGTATAAGGAGAGTTCTGACGTTCTCAACTGAGTTGAAAATGTTCTTAAAATTTTAACGAAATTTTCGAGTTTTAAAATGTTTTCATTGTGCTTGAATCAAGTTGAATTGGCGGTATTAACATTGTATATATCATATATATTAAACAGCTGTTAAATAAACTCAATTTATGTATTCACCAAATTGTACTTACACGGTTTTTAAGAACGAATGCTCTCAATTCAAGAACAATGTACTTGAGTATTTTACTATGTCTAGCCTGTTTTGGTTCTAAAAAAATATTTGAGATGTTAAATTTATAAAAATTACATTAAAAAATGGGTTGCCTATATGGAGAACACATAAAATTACCGCATAAATATTTATTGTATAGCAATGCCATCACATCTGTATATTTTATTTATTTATTCCCCTCAGCTAATGTAAATATTTTACCTTGCTCTCTTTTTACAGACAAGTCCGTTTCACTTCTGCTGCTGGAAGCCTTCGTCCTTTCGTGCGTCCCCTTCTGCTAATTGCTTTGTGTGCCCTGCTCCTGGCTCCTTCTTGTCCTCACTAAGCAGCCCAGATCCTTCCACACTCAAGGCTCAAGGTTGGTATTATACCCAGTTTATATACATTGTAATATGTATTCTGTGTTTTTTTTTTTTTTTTGTGTCGAGGGGTTAGCAATTGGTTTTATTTTTGGGGTTTAATTGCACGGCTTTGGACAGATTTTAATTACTGACAGCACAGGCGGGCACAAGTTGGGTAAAAGGTCATTTGGAATGTTATCCAAACAGAGGAATATTCAAATTGAAATTAAGCTAAATATATGGCAGGCCGTCGGCAAAGGGTAAATAAGTATTTGATAATGAAAATCGCCGGAGCTTGACCTTTTCCTTTCAGTTGATAATAATGAAAACGAGAGAAGTAATTTAAAAGATTTGAGAAGGATTTAATGCAGTCTTAATTACACTTAAAATGTCAGCAAATGAATTTATTGGTGTGATTTATAAGCAAAATGAATGAACGAGTATTTTAATATCTTTCTGAATGTTTATTTTAAATACCTTTGAAAAGGGATTAGGATTACGATTTGGATTGGTTTTACCAAAAGTCAAGGAAATCCAGTCACTGATAAATCAATCGCCTGGGATTGCAGATGAAAAACTTTATCCACAAAAGTTTCCAAACAATTGCATTCAATAAAATCAAGTGGGGCCAGCAAATCAAACCCCATCTAAACAATGAAACACAGGAACAACATTAGCATTTGTTAATCAAAGTGTAATTCCGCAATTGCTACCAGATTCCAGAGAAGTTGAGCCGTTTCTTGGCTAAAACTGCCAACTGAAGAGCCATAAAAACCTCCAGCCAAGCGAAATAAAGTGAGACACACAGCGACAGATATAGTAGAGGGGAGCGGGTAAAAGGAAACTTTCTTAGCCACTCCAAGCGCCACAAATCACTTTAAACTGTAAGGACAAACTTGTGGCCCAGAGATGGGGGGCTTTCTGATCTCTCAGACCACCGATTCTCGATTCCCCAAGTTCACCTGAGAGTCAAGCCACTTGCTAGCTTTTCTGGCCCGAGCTATTAAATCTCGCCACTTGTTCAACGAAATCGTATATCTGTAAGATGTACAATCACTTAAATCGTTGAGCGGCTAATCCAGCCGCAGACTTCTGCCGCCGCCTGGAGTTTATCATATATCACGGGGAAAAACTTCCCCTACCGATTGACAAAAAGAAAAAAAAACAGCCCGAATTGCTCGCATTTCAAATGCCAAATATCAGTTTACAGGCACAGCACAGAGAACAAATCAATAATCCCGAAAACCTCACGAAAAAATCAACACAAAACCCAGAAGGCATATCAAATTTTTTTTTTTCCTTTCTTGATTGACGTCTTTTTGGCTTCGCTAGAGGGGCGATAAAATGGGCGGCGGTTAGAAGGTTGTCTGAGCTGGAAGCTCTTTTGAGGAGTTTCCATTCTTTCATTCTTTCACTGATTTCTGCTTTTACTTTCGATTTGGCTTTTGTATTTTGGGTATTTGCGCTGATTAGCACAAGGGAGGGGGTGGCAAAAAAAAAAGAAAGGAGAGGTACACTATCAAAAAGTTTGGATTGAATTTAAAATATTACCATTAAAATAACCTTTTCTAAGTAAGTATTTCAAACAAAGAAGGTAAAAATATTTTACAATACGATTTTAAAAATGGTTTTTCATTTAAATAAACATTTTTTTAAAGAAGGTTATGACATATTTTGGAATATATTCCTTTAAGATGTATAATATTGAATGTTGGAACTTTTTTTCCAAGTGAATGCTGGGAATTGCAAAGCGAGTCCTGTGCAAACGGAAAAGAAATCAAATGTTGTCATCATTGCCGGCGTCGTTCTAATCTCTGGAGCATGTTAATAACCCAAAGGGCCAGTGCCACGCCTTCCGACCTCCCCCATTCCCAGTCGGCGTCCCAATCTCAATCCCAATCCCCGACCCCCCAAACCATTCCCTGATCAGTGTTGTCCATGTAATTTCATGCAAATATCATATTATACGACTGGCGATGGAGAACTGTACGTGTTGTGGGTATGGAAACGGCCTCTGACAATGTCGCACACAATATAATCATAACAACTCTTGGCGGGGGTGGTATTGTTAGGGGGGTATACCCCATAGAACTGCCCAGGGGGTGGACTTGTTGTAATATTTGTCAATAGCCAGCCAACCGATGTGCCGACAATTGACATGGCTAAGCAGGGAAATGCAGGGAAATGGAAATTCGAGTGCGAGTGCGAATGCGAAAGGCAAGGAAACTCAAAGTGGAGCGGACAGCGTGAAAGCAGCCCATAAATAAGCAAATAAAATGTAATAACTAAGTGAAAATGTGGAAAATGCTGTCGAAGGCCGTCGCTTTTAATGTGCCCCTGGAGTGCTGGACTAAATGAAAATGTCGAGTGAATGGTGAAAGGATCGGAAAAGCTTTGTGTTCCGAATCAAAAGTGGTTTTAGATAACAATGAACTGAAATTATATAGAAGTGGTGCTGATTTAAATGGGCTAAGATGTTTGGGATTTTTTGGCTTGGTGCTAACATTTTGTAGTTGTAGATGAATCAATAAAATTGGTTGATCTATAGTTATTTTATTCATTTTCAAGTAATTTGAATAATTACCAAAGTTTACACGATATTCATTTGAATAATGCAGCACTCACTGGGCTAATCACTTAAGTGAGTATTTCAGCTATAGTTATTTCGCAGAATCGTTGCACCTGCACCATATAAAGCAAACCTGCTATCTATCAAATTCGCACACGTGCCGAGCTGTGAGCTCTTAACTGGGATATTTTATTCATGGCACCCGAAATCTATTTCGACTTGAGCTGCTTAAGTGAGCTTCTGCTCTTCACCCAGCTAGTTAGCTATGCATTTTGCCACGCCCACAGAACTACTTAGCAGCTGCAATTCGAATGATGCACTGAGAAAAATGTCGGAAAGTTTTATACACCTTTATAAAAGAAAAATTGAATTCAGAAATAGAACATTTTTTATGATACTTGAAAGATATTTGCTGTGAAATCTCACTAATTTCAAAATCCATCTTTAAGAGATATAATATTTTGATATTATACCATGTCTTGTCAATTTAACGTGAAAAATCTTTAGTCGTAGAACTTTAAGAATCAAAAACAAATTCGTATCTTTTTATTTATGTACTAAACTTCGGGGAAAAGTTCAAAAGATCATGAAATGCAATTCAATTTCCAATAATGCCTTATCTTTTTTTTTCTGTGCACCATTTGAGCTCAACACATTCTACTATCTCCCCCACATTCTGCACACATTTGCTGCCCCTTTAGTTGGTATTTGGTATTCGGTATTCTCCGCCCTGATAAGTTGCAATGCATTTCTTGGCATTTCTCTCTGGGCTGTCAGCTATCTGCAAAGCGCCACGCTGCCAACTAAACAATGAAGAACTAATCCACAGAGTATACAAAAGAATGGCTATAAAACTGCTCGTGTGGGTGGAAATAAAAAGAAAAAAATAAAAGCAAAGCAAAAAAAAATAGGAAAGAGGGAGTGGACTTATAGGTGGGATTGTGTTTGTGTAAGGCCACTTTATGACTGCCCTTTTGCAACAATTGTGCAGCGCTGCATTCAATCAACAAACTTTTAAAGCGCAGTTACAAAACTCAAACAAACTGAAGAAGCACGAGTGAGTTGCAGGGACCAACGGAAAGAAAGGAAAACATGGGGAAAAGTGGGGAAAGATACGTGATGGTCAGGGAAATTGCACAACAGCAGCAGCAGCAGCAGCGTTTAATTATGACAATCAATACTCACACACACTGGGGCATTTCGCCACACACAGATACTCGATTATATATACAGTTAAAACTCTATAAACCGAACAGGAATATAAAAGTTTTAAATGGGAATCAGTAAAAAAAAAAAAAGTTACAATCTCCTTCATCAGTTGTGCAAATGTAATCTAGTTCGTTTATTAGCACTAAAAACACATTTAAATATCATACTAAATTGGGAATTTATGTGACATGTAGTACATTCCCCAGAAGCTCCACTGTGGCAGACTCACACATATGGCAGATTTTATTGCTGATGTGCTCTCATTGCTCATCTGCGCTGCCCAGGGACCTCGGACTAGTGCAAATAAAACTTGATTAAATTCCATTGGCGGTTCCAATTTCGCACGGGTTGAGCTCTGGGGTCGGTTGTGGAATTGACCGGAGAATCTCTAGAGATAGAGATGGCGGTCAGAAGAAGATGACGAAGAACAAGGAGCTGGACTAGAGGATCTGCCATATTACAACAATCAAACATAACCTAATTAGATGGACGTTGGTTTCGTCCTTGTGGTTGTTGTTTCTACCATGTAAAACCCGCGAATTTGTGGCAAGTGCGCCTGGAACCAAGGGTTAACTAAAGTTATGTAATCAAGTTATTTACTCTTTACAATACAGTATTAATTAAAGGAAAGTTCTAATATTGCCTTGATTATTGACTTTAATTAAGTGTAATTTATTTGAGAGTTATACAACGTTTCAACAAATGACAAACAGAATATTTATTAATTGAACCAAAAATTGTTGACTAAATTGCCCGAATTGCATTGGAACTAATTAATTAAATAGCAATAGATGCACTTAACTAGAGGCTATCAAATAATATTTACAGCCCCTAGCTGACGAGTATCGGGTATCACAAAACCCATCATAGCTTTTCAAAGGACTCATTATTGCTATTGCATTGTTATTGACTTCGTTGGTGGTCGTAATTGCATTACTCATCTCCTTTCTATACATATAAGGTCTTCATTACTATCCCTTTTTTGGGATAATATCTCTGGCCCTGGATTTTGCTGTGCTTGCAATAGCTTTAATTATCATGTGCGCTACGCACTTTCTTTGACCAGATACATACGCACACATAGTAGTGGCAAGTGGGTGTTTTTACTAGTGATGGACGCGTGAGGGAACTTTACTTAAAGTATAAAATTATTTTATTATTATTATGTAATACTGAGTTAAATATTCATTAAGATATAAGCTTTAAACCTGGCATATACACAAGCCTCTCTTCTATCAA